ATGTGTGTGTTTAACAAGGCAGTCTTGTGTATACTGGGAGAAGTGGCCTTCAAGTTTTGTTTGGAATGGGACTATCTTTCATTTGAGGGAAGACAGTAAATGTGATGAATATACAGCAATGTACTCTCCTGTTTCAGACATCAGCCCTTCACTGGTTAGTGACAGCTAAGACCTGGTCTCTGCTGTGTGCTGCAGCATCTTATTAGTAGAAATCAAATTAAGAGTTCTAGAATTATAGCATCACATGTACTTACTCGAGTGCAAGTTAAGAACACTTGCCTGGCACAATGGTCTCTGAGAACATGGCTTAAAAACAAAGAAATATGTCCTTGTTTTTATTGTACTTCCCAAGGGAGCTGATATATATTCCTTTATGTATTCCTCTTCCCAGTATAAATCTGTCTGGTTTGCAGGAAGGCTTAACCCATTTTCATCTGCACTGACTGGGTGATAATTTATTTCGATTCTATGTTGGTTTTTTTTCCACTGAAATTTAATTATGAAAGAACTGGATACTATCTGTAAAAGGTGAACAGTGTTCTAGGCTGAAAGTTTATGCTAGAAGTTACTGGATGCAAACACTTAGTGGAATCCTTACTTTAACATTTAGAGATTTCAGATTTAATGACTTCTAAGAATACCTTAGGTAGAGGTGTTTAGAATTTAATAATATAGATTATATTAGAACATATAGTCTATATAATAATATAGATTTTCCTAAAGTTCTTGCAGGTAATACAAACACCCTGTTTGAACTCTATGCTACTAATAAGCTGTAAGGTAGAAAGATGGAGGGTAGGGTGCTGAGGTGTCTATAGGTAGTAGCAGATAGTAAGAAACCAAAACACTGTTTTGTAGGGACTGTGTCTCCTTATTCTTTTCGGCAACTTGTTTAACCTGTTAACTTTCACAGTTCTGACTTGAAAATGGTAAATCAGTTCATCTTGATGTTAGAAATGAAATATTAAAGCAGTGGAAAAAAAACCCTTGGATTTAGTGTTGTAGTGTTTGCATTTGTAGAAACACATGTCTGTCTTACTAACTGCGGTGGAAAATTCCAGTAAAACTGTTTTTTAAATTGGTGTCTCCAGAGTAGCTGTGTTCAGTGTTGTACAGTGTGTCGTCATTAAGTATTTAAAACTAGGCTTTCTGGCTGCTTCTTGACTTTTCATTTTGTTCAGTGGTTTTGACATTGCATAACCTTAATGTTTGTGTATTAAATATTCACCTGCTGAAGTAGCTGTGGAAGTAGTATTTCAGCACAGCTATTACTTCAGTCAGTATGTGTATTGTTTGAAGAGATTGAGTGTAGAACTGTTGTCGAGTAATTACTGAATGAACAAACTGACAGGATACAGGTAGGGAGGTAAATCTGGAGGGTCTCTGCTTTAAATCTCTTCCACAAGTAAAATAGCTGGTCTTGGACATAATTAATAGAAACTGTGTATCTCATAATTTGGGCAAGATTCCTTTGCATAAGAAGCAGTTCTGTTTATAGCACTAACATTTTTGTGCTGTTCTTGTTTTTCTCTGCTGATGCCAAGTTTCGATAATTAATCACAGATCAGTACTAATGTTTTGATGAAGAAAGTAAAACTTCAATTACATTGTGTTTCTGCAGTTCTGTGTTTCTTTCAGATCTCTTGCCTGGCCAGAAATTGTGGTGCTTAGCAAGGTGACTAGAGATAGTGTTTGGATATTGGTAATGAGGTACCAATTTCAGTTAGTATGTTATTCCTGTGACTGATCTGCCCAGATTCTGGTATGTGTCAGTCAGGATACAGGAGTAGTCACTGGGACACTTTCCATGTAGGGTAATCTGTGATTGGCATATGTTTTTAGATGTGAAAAAATGGCTTGTAAACACAACTCAAGAATTTAAACGAATGACACTGAAACTGCAGTGATAGTATTTACTGGTTGGAGTTTATTGCTTTCATTTACTTGCTTTCCTTAAACTGCATTCAGTATTGGCCTTGACTGCTATGTCAAATGCTATTCCAAGTCGCATTTACCAGCTAGGGCATGGGCAATAAACATCACGGAATCAACTGTCACTGTGAAAGAAGTCCTACTCCTCTGACAGAGAAAAAGTGAGAGGGATTCTGCAGACACTGTTTTATAACTCGACAGGTGCCAGTTCTGTGGCAAAAGGTAAAGTTGCCATAAGTTAGCAAAGATTTCTTTTGTGTATTTCCCTTCTTCTGAGGGGCTCAGTGGTTTCATTTCCTTGATACGTGACAGCATGTATCCAGCATTGTGAATTCCCCTTTGTAAGATAGTGTCTCTGTTTTGAATTCCTCTTTACAAGTATAGGGACAAAATCACTGTATCACTGGTTTTATACAAAAAGCTGAGTGGGAATCCTGTCTTGGCTTTACCTTTACTTGATTCAAGTCACTTTAGAGTCTGGGTGACAGTCCGTTTCAAAGAATTCCCTGTAATGTCTGCTGTGTGTTGTTGTGGAATCACCAGATGGATGAGATTGGAGGCACCTCTGGAGGCCTCTAGTCCAGCCTGCTGTTCTGAGCGAGTTGTTCAGACCTGTGTCCGGTCGGCCTGTGAACATCTCCAGGGTTACACTGTGCAATCTAACTTCTTCCACTGCATCACCACCCTTTACCAGGAAAAGGTGTTTTCTTAGGGAATTAAAACTGTATGGAATTTCCAAATGAACTTTTCTGTGTTACAGTTTGTGCCCATTTCCTCTTGTCCTGTCACTTGATACTGCAGGGAAGAATCTGGCTCCATCTTTATTCCTGTCTTAGCCGTTTTTATGGCCAAGATCCTGCTGAGCTGGCTTTTCTCCAGATTCAGCGATCCCTGCTTGTCAGCCTTGCCTTCTATCAGAGATGCTCCAGTCCCATAATCACTTTTTTGGCCCTTAACTGGACTCACTTCAGTTGTAAATATCTGTTTTGCATTGGGGAGCCCCGAGCTGGAGACATCTGCCCCGAAGTGTTTCACCAGTGCTGAGTAGAGAGGAAGGATCACTTCCCTTAACTGTTGGCACTGCCACTACTAGTGCAGCCCGTGTGACTGTTGGCCATCTCTGTCTCATGAGTTCTGTGGGCTCATGATCAGCTTGGTGGCTACCAGGACTCCAAGGTTCTCTGCCAAGCTGCCTTTCTCCCAGCAGGGAAGGACTCTGCTTTCCCTGCTGTTGAGCTTGTTTAAGGTTCCTGTTTGCCCAGTTCTCCAGACTGAGATCCCTCTGGATGGCAGCACAGCCTTCTGCACTATCAGCCACTACTCCAACCATTGTATCATCTGTCAAGATTGAGGGTATGCTCTGTCCCATCATCCAGGTCACTAATGAAGATGTTAACCAGTAGTGGATCCAATATCGATGGAGGCTAGTGCCTAGTCTCCAGCTGGACTTCATGCCACTGATCAACCCACTGACCCTGCAGTTCAGACAGTTTTCACTCTGTCACTTCCCACATAACTAGTATGTACTTAATGGAGGTGCTCTAATAACTTTTTTTTTGCCTCTGTCTTCACTGGCAAGGACATGAGCCATACCCTTCCGAGTCGCAGATGGCAAGGGCAGGGACTGGGAGAATGGAGAGCCACCCATGGTTAGTGAAGATCAGGTTTGGGACCATCTAAGGAACATGAAGGTGCACAAGTCCATGGGACCTGATGGAATTACATCTGTGGGCCCTGAGGTAACTGGTGGATGAGGTTGCTAAACCTCTGTCCATCATATATAAGGAGTTGTGGTGGTCTGAAGTTCCCACAGATTGGAAAAGAGCAAACATAACCCCCATCTTTAAAAAGGGAAAAAAAGAAGGACCCGGGGAACTATGGGCCAGTCAGTCTCACCTCTGTGCCTGGCAAGGTCATGGAGCAGATCCTCCTGGAAACCCTGCTGAGGCACATGGAGAATGAGGAGGTGATTGGTGACAGCCAGCATGGCTTCACCAAGGGCAGATCGTGCCCATGGTGGCTTCTTCGATGGGGTCATGACCTTGGTGGAGAGAGGATGGACAGCCCATGTCACCTATGTGGGCTGAATGCATTTTTGCTATAGGGGGTCTGTGGCTTTCTACCTGACACCTTGATGGTGATAACTTTCATGGGCTCTTCTGTGAACAGTTCCCTCGTGTATTTCTAGCACTGTAAAAAAGCGAGGGGGCATGTAGAAGAAAGGACTAAGTAATCTTCAGCTCAGCAGGCTCAGCTCCACATACTGTGTGTGTAGTATGTGTCTGAGGGTTGAACAATCTAATTGGTAATCTTAAAATATTTCTGAACTGAACTTTGAGGCAGCAAGTAAAAACTTCGGCCCGAAAGGACCTGAGAAGCTCGCTGTTACTTGGCATTCAGTTGTTAGGACCTCAGAAATGTAGAAAATGTCAAGCTGCCGAACAGATGTTGCATTCCTACTCCTGCTATTCATTTAGGCCCATGACAGTGATGTAGCAGAGTTTACCTGGACCTCATGAGTGATTGTGTGTCATTTGATAGCAAGCTCAACACGTGAACAAAGGGCATGGTGCTTGAAAACCTCCAAGTGCTTCAGACTGTCTTGTTCTGTTTTTTTGACCTAGTTATCAAAGGGAAATTCCTTGTATTTTTTTAATGCTTTTTAATGATAATTAAAAGGAAAACGTTCTTGGATCTTCTTATATTTGTCTTTTAATCTTAAAGTAAGCTGAGGACACT